TCATTGGATGTGTGACTGTAGGTGCACGAATAAAATAGATATTGAAGAAAAATATGGCAATGACACCTTCACTCGATCACCAATTTTCAACTTATCACTAATGTCTTGCTAAACCCACTTGATAATTCTAACTCAAAAGATCACGCGCCAACAACGCACATTAGCAAGAACAAGTAGAATACATGGTAAAATGCCCAAACAACCGGTAATTCTTCCCAAAAGAGGTAATAGAGCAGTGGAGGCCCCGTTGTTGGTGACGTCATAGAGTTTGTGCGTGTGTTTGTATGTGTACGTGTGCGTGTGTACGTGTGTGATTGTCTGTGTGTGCGTATGTCTGTATCTGGAAAGAGCCGCCGCGTGGAGTGTCCATTATAGATGTTATTTACTCCTTAAAAGTATTATTAGAGGAGGAACAGCCCGATGAAGATGACGCAACAATCTATACAATATAGCTACCAGGGTGAGGAAAGGAATTTATTTATATATATTTTTTTAACCGAGGGAAAAAAAATCTGTGGCTTTGAGGAAAAGAGTAAGGGGAGGATTTCTAATCACGATTTCAGACGGTGCCTTTCGTTCGAATCGTGTCTTACAAAATGGGTAAGTGGGTAAGGTCGTCGGTGTATTAATTTATAGTATTTCCGAATTGTTGGGAAATAAAGAGTGAGAGAAAGTGTGAGTGAAGAGCATGAGGAAGGTCTTTGTAATGAGGTGTGGGGTTCAGGGTGACTTGGCGGTGGCGGCAACACTTCTCTCAGTCACACTTGTCACACTTATTGATTTGTTTTATAGCCATGGGCTGAGCTTCATGGAGAGAAAACATATGGATGTTGTATTAACATTTTTGTTATTCTGGCTTCCCAGTTTGTAGGATGTTATACAATTACGTATTTCAGTGATATCCCCTAAAATATTGAATTGATGCTTTTGATCATAGAAAGACCGTTCTTGTCTAATTTAATGTTATCGAGATTGACACTGAGATAGAGGAAAATGGTCCCTGCCATCCTACAGTGCATAAGGAATAGATAAAACACAGCTGCTTTGGCCATATATTTACTGCGAATTAACAAAAATATTCGCACAGCGTGTTCTTATCACTACATTTAAATTTGGGGAGGGGTGGCTTGCTTCCATGTCTTGGGTATTAATAGAAGGTAGGAAAGTTTGCTTCCATGTCTTGGGTATTAATAGAAGGTAGGAAAGTTAAGTTTTGGAATTTTGGGTTTGCATGATACCCTGGTTTTAGGACTTGCGTGTCTAGAGGATATGTCATTCTCAGTAACAAATACCTATACTTGATACCTTCCCCTGCTATTAGGACTATTCAAGATTGTCGATGGAAATGGTATTTGGATCTCTTCAACAATTCATTTGCACAAGAAACAACACCAAGAATCATTTAAATCATTGGATTTCCTGCAGAAAAAAAAAAATGGACTGTCTCCAAGAGGGTGCTTTGCTCTTGATAACAATTACCATCGAATGATAAATATAAAAAGGATCTGCAAATGTTTTTAAGGTAACCATAGAACACTTCCTCAACTTGAGATTGAGGTTGTCGGACGCAGCCGAGTACTGCTGAAGATGACCTGAATTGGTTAGGTTAGTTTAGGATGGGATTTGGAACTAGATCCGTACCTTCAAGAAAAAAAAAATCATTGTGTAGAAACAGATTCATTTCTATAACCCTTCCCTAAAGAACAGATCAACATATGCTATAATTTAAAGAAAACCATATATTTTTATTCTATATAGTGTAATTAATCATTAGCCCAGCAGGTATAAAGGTTTGTCAAATGGACCTAACGAGAGTGTTGGCGCCCATCTGCAGTTTCCCTTGTTTGCGCCTGGCTAGTTCGGTAGTTTGTAAGCGACATTTGGCACCTAAAAGCTCATATTTATCTATGATTGATACAAATATTATAATATTGAAGGTTTACCTTCATTATAGGTGCTATTGCCTAAAATCGTGACCAAAGAATGGATAAACAAACTCTGTCTGACGAGCCAGTGGCGCAGGAATGCCTTGCCTGAATGTGCGGAGAAGGTTTGGTGGTCATTTCTAGTGATGCATTTCCTTATCTGTATGGATGAAATGCAGTACTTATGAAAAGTGTTTCCAGTCAGTTGTTCAAAAAGTAAATTTTCATAAAAATGGCAATACAAAGCAGTATAGTTTGTTTTTCACAGCCATATGGTACAAGGTAAACTTTGCATGTAACAGACATAATGGAAAAAAAAAAGACATTTGTCTTTGTCATTTCCTATGCAGGTTGATAACTAGAAAGTTGTGTAACTCGTAATACTTTGGTATATATTTATATTGTAACTTGTGCTAAGATGGGGAAAATCAAATAATCAAATGTAACTGTCATAAAGAAATGGAAAAACTACAAACCAAAATATCAAATGATTTGTATAGGCAAAGAACTGGTTGGAAATAAAGAAAATAGGTTGCGACATAGGAATTTTTTATTCGTCTGTGTGACCTTGATTTAAGCCCAGCACAGTGGCCAGTGCCCTCTCCATTCTTCCTTAGTATCAGTAAATGGGTGACACAAATCTTATAATACTGTTGCTTTCTACATAAGGTATTGAATTTACTCATCTACATGGTAATCCCTATCCACTGCAGTTGCAGTGGATAGGGTTAGTGTGTTAGTGTGTGTTGCTCCTTGCCTGGATGATTTTCTGCCATGTGATCTTCTGCCTAAGACCTTTTCGTAATGATTGGTATATACCCATATATAGAGACAGTTGGGAAATATTTTATGGAGAGCTTTGTCTCTCTGGAAAAGCTGGACCCAGAGTTCTACATCAAAGGCCTGTTGGCCAATCACGTTATGCTGCCTCTCATCAGAGCTGATCAGGACTCTCCTGCTACCCTGGTGGTAGTTCAGTAATGTGAACTGCAATCATAACTTGATGAGACTTTTCCAAACATCTGAAAAAAAAGACATTCTCGGGCATCCCGCAGGTGTGACGCTAGATCAGAGCTGGCACTCTGATTTTGTTGCCTGTGGCGGGCGGGTTCCCGGACTGACCCGTCCACCAATTTTGAAGCCACCCAGAAACTATTATTTTCGGCTTGAAAATGTACCGGCACTAGTGGGTTAAGGTGGTACAGTTAACGTAATTTTTTAAAATCCCTTTAGGTGGACAATGGATTGTAGATGATTCATTATGATCTTTTAATCCAGATCTAGTCTGGGTAGTTTAGCACAATGGATAGAACAGATTTGAATGTACACATTTTCCATGCAGATGTTCTTTTTTAGTTTTGGACTGCTGAAGATTAGGATATTAATACTAGTCTATTTATGTTGTATTTACTAATTTATATTCTATTTCTATGTCAGCAATATTTTATTTATTAGATATATGGTATACTTTGATATATGAAAACCATTGCATATTGTTAGCAGAAATTGTCACTCCCTCTCATTCTTATTCTGCTCCAATCTATCTCTTTTATTTCTTTTCTTTCCTCAATAATTTCTTAGCTTTGTGTATTCTTTTCTACTTTGCTCGTTATCCTATCCCCTCCCTCCTCTCTTACCTTTGTTTCCCCTTCCCTTTCTTTTTTCCCCTCTTCTTTTTCCTCTTTTCCTCCTCTGCTATTTCTCTTCTCATTCCCTCCATCTCCTCCCTCTTCTGTATGCTTTCTTGCTGGTGGCAACTCCTGCTTGCAATGAAAATAATTAATTATTTATGTTGTCATTTTAAGGAATAAAGGGAAGATTTTAGAAATATTCCTATTCTAGCATTTCATATCCATTACTCATAGTAACTCAGCAAATTTTGAAAGTCCAAGACACTTAGAAGAAGGCAGCATCTTAAGGCTTAACCCATTACTGCCGGTATATTTTGAAGCCGAAAATAATATATTCCTGGTGGCCCACTGCTGTGTCAGAGCGCAAGCCCCAATACAACATCACACTGGCGGACGCCCGGCAATGTTTATATTTTCGGATGTCTCATATAAGGGACACTCGTCGTTATTGGGTTAAAAGGGAAAGGGTTAAAGAAAAATAGAAATTATTCATGAAAGTAGTTATTTTTTTTACTGCAGTGACAGACATCCTACTTAACCCTAAAGGAGGTGTTTCCTATGTTTGAGCACAATTAGTGAGCTGGAGGGCAAAGGGCACCAAAATTCCAACAAGGCACTAGAAAATGATTGTGAAGTTTCAAGTAACATAATGGAACTTTTTATTTGTAGATTCCATGTGTAATTTGAGTTGTAGATAAATGTGATTGTTTAGTGTGTTGATATGCTACATTTATGTCAAATCATAAGAGGATATCTCCTTTATGGGTTATAGGAAATTGGATTAGACTTGTCATGTATTTTTTTCTTTCTTTTCCCTGAAGGTCTGGCAGAATTGGCCCATCGTGAATACCAGACAGGAGACTATGAGAATGCAGAGAAACACTGCATGCAGCTGTGGCGTCAAGACCCCTCAAATACAGCAGTGCTACTGCTGCTTTCATCAATCCACTTCCAGTGTAGACGCCTAGATAAGTAAGCAGAAGGGTTTAAAAAGGAGTCTTTCTGATTTGGGTAAATGAGTTTGGGAGAGTGAGAGCAAGTGAGTTAAAGAGAAATTGTTAGTATAATGGATAATTGAATGAATTGAAGAAGGATTCAGTGAGGAAGTGAGTGAGTAGAAGATATTGAAAAAATGAGTGAATGAAGGAACAAGAGGGATGGAATGAATGAATAAGGGATTTGAAGAGCTGTTGTATGAATGAGTGAGTGAGTGACAAATTTGAAGAGATATTGAATTAGTGAGTGAATTACATATTTGAAGAGAGATTAAATGATGATGAGTGAGTGAGTGAAGATATTTGAAGAGAGATTAAATAGATGGATGAATGAGTGAGTGAGTGAGTTAGATATTTGAAGAGAGATTAAATGAATGAATGAATGAGTGAATGAGGCAGATATTTGAAAAGGTAATGAATGAGTGAGGGAGGGAGATACTTGAAGAGAT